TAATATTTCACCCAAAGCAGTAATTTCATGGGGTTTGTATGAAGGAGTTTGAGATTCTGGGTTTATTTAGGAAAACTTAATGTTCCATGTGTTTTTTTGTGGTACTTTACACTAATCTGGTAATTTCTTGCCGTCCTTTATTTATTTTTTTTTTATTTTTTGAGATAGAGTCTCGCTCTGTCATCTAGCCTGGAGTACGGTGGCACGATCTCAGCTTACTGCAACCTCCAGCTCCTGGTTCAAGTGATTCTCCCGCCTCAGCCACCTCAGCCTCCCGAGTAGCTGGAACTACAGGTGCCCACCACCACACCCAGCTAATTTTTGTATTTTTTAGTACAGACGGGGTTTCACCCATATTGGCCAGACTGGTCTTGAATTCCCAACCTCAACTGATCCGCCCCCCTCGGCCTCCCAAGTAATGGAATTACAGGCACGAGCCACCGTGCCCGGCTGTGACTTAATTCCTAGAGTCTGATGTTAGGTTTCTGTTTTGGGATAGGCTGAGGGTTTTATTTTGAGCAATGGATTAAGACCTGGGCTATGGGTTCTGGACACATTGATGGCTCCGATTTCTGGGTGGTGCTCTGGGTTCCTTATTAAACTCTGTTTATGAGCCGTTCTTAGACAACAGTATGAGCTCTGTACGCTAGCTGGGGTCAGGGTTCTCAACACTGGTGTGAGCTCTTGATTCTACAGGTCTGTTTCATATTGGATTATAGAGCTCTTGGTTCTGGACTCTGATCTGAGCCCTTGACCTCAGGTTGGGCTCTGGGTTCTAGTTGGAGCTCCAGGTTATGGCCTGGATCCAAGATTCTAGAGTCTGATTTGCATTCTGGCCTTTATATTCTAGACTCTGGCCTGAGCTTTGATCTCTAGGTTCTAGACTGACCTTCTGTTTATGGCATAGACATGGCTTATAGGTATTTTGACTTCTTGGCTGGGGTCTGGGTTGTAAGTTCAGATCTAGAATTTAGGAGGGGTCTAGGTTTTATATGGGGCTTCCGATTAGGATCTCCATTCTGGGATTTATTTATTTATGTATTTATTTATTTATTGAGATGGAGTTTCACTCTTGTTGCTAAGGATGGAGTGCAATGGCACGATCTCGGCTCACCGCAACCTCCGCCTCCTGGGTTCAAGTGATTATCCTGCCTCAGCCTCCCGAGTAGCTGAGATCACAGGCATGCACCATCACACCTGGCTAATTTTGCATTTTTAGTAGAGACAGGGCTTCTCCACGTTGGTCAGGCTGGTCTCGAACTCCCGACCTCAGGTGATCTGCCCGCCTCAGCCTCCCGAAGTGCTAGGATTACAGGCATGCACCGCGCCAGGCACATTCTGGGCTTTAAACACTGGGTTGAAGTCTGTATTCTAGGCTGCTCATAGCGGAGCTATAGACTGGACTCTGAACTAAACCTTGGATGTGGAACAGTCTCCAGATTTTGCCTCTATTCTTAGAGTTGTATGTTCCAGCTGTGAGCAGGGTTCCAGTTCTGGCTTTATGGCTAGACTGTAGGTCCTGAACTGGGCTCTGAGTTCTACGTAGTCTCCTTAGTTTCTGAATGTAGACGGGGTCCTGAATTCAGCCACCAATCTGGATTGGGCTAAGCTTGGTCTTGATGTAATGCGTGGCCTCTGGATGAATCACTGGATTAGATGTTTGGTTCTCAGCAGGCCCATGGGTTCCAAGCTGCCCGTCTGCTTTCAGAACCTACGCTGAGTTCGAGATTTACGGAGGAGTCCACATCCCGAGCTGTGTTTTTGGTTCCAGGCTCTTCTCTAGACCTCAAACCGGGAGCCAGCCACTACATTGGGTTCTACACAGAGATCCAGGTTCTCAGCTCAGTTCTAGGGCTTTAGACTCTAGAATTCGCTGGACATAGGGACAGGGGAGGGGGTCACTTACGGGCGGCCGCAGTGAGCAGCGGTGATGACCCACTGGTCTGAAAGCAGGGCACCTCCGCAGAGGAAGCGCCGCCCGGGACCCGCCAGCAGGGCCGCCTGCCACGGCTGGGAGCTCCGGGTGCATGTATAGCCACCAATTATCTTGTTCTCATCCTCTTGGCTCCGTGTCATGTCTAGGAGTGGACAGGATTGGGTGGGGAAAGTAGATGAGCAAACACTCTCCACTTCGCAAGTTTGTAGGACTCCAGAACTGACAAATCCTCTTCCTTTTGGTCTAACCCCTAAACCGCCCACTTCTATCCATCCCACCCAGGGTGAGACATGTCCCATATTGACCCCGTTATTGCCCCAACACAGAGAGTTTTCTGACTCACCTCCCAAGTCACCTCCGTAGCATCTCTTATTTTGTGCCATGGCCACCTTATCCAGGACCTTGCTACATCTACGACCCTCAGCTCTACGCTCCCATAATTTCCGTGATCACTTCTCGAAATATGCCACATTTCCCCCCAGTGAGTCCTTCCCCAACACATTCCAGGACCTCCCTGTCTCTTCCCCAAAGTTCTCACTCAGTGGGACCCCAAGGATCCACCATCTCTTGCCCCACACTTGCCCCCAGCCACCTCGCACACCCCACATCACGATCCCGCCACCCCATCGTCCTTCTCCACCTTCCCTCTGACAACAAAACATCTTTCCCACGTTGTTTCTTTCCTAGCACAGTCAAGTAGAACCCTGTGATCCTTCTGTTATGACCCACTCAGGACCTAATAGTTCTCTACGATTCCTTATTTATTTTGCACCAGATCTTATAAACACCTCTCTCCCCAGTCCCGCAATTTCCTAGCACCTCCACAACTAGGAATTTAGGCCTCCAGCACGCTCCCCCGTCATGATCCCCAGACCACTCCCGGCTCTTTCTTACGAGGTCACCATGAGCATCCAGGGGCCCCAAGGACCCATTCCCCATCTCTTCTCAGAGTCTCCAGGGGAGCCCCTTGTCTCATACCCAACCTTTCTCTTACCTATAGCCAGGACTTGAAGTGCTGTCAGCAGGAGGAACATTTTAGGGGCTGAGGGCCAGGTTCTGTCAAATGCAGAGAGAAAGTGAGAGAGAAGGAACCTTCAACAGAACCAGGGGCTGAGAGGCAGAGACAGCGAGGGCCACTTACCCAGAGCCCAAGGCCCTCAGCGACATGAAGACAGAGCAGAGAGGTAGGGACCAGAGACCAGGAGGGCGGGGCCTGCAGGCTCTGCGGGCGACAGGCAGGAGGATGAGGAGCAGGGCGCAGGTCCCTCCTTGATGTCTTGGTGAAGGAAGGAGGGGAGGTGTCTCTCTTCCTAGTCACGCTGGCAAAGCCTTTTATCCCTGGTCAGGACAGCTGGCCCTGCCCCCATCTCCCGCTGCCCTGCTTCTGATATTTTTTTTTTTTTTTTTTATTGCCTAGTTCCCATTCCAGAACTCCCTGATCCCATCCCCTCCCTCCCCTCTCTGGCCAAAAAAGCAGCCACAATTGTTCATGAGAACCCGCCCCGGGAAGATGCTATAATCTAGAAGGAATCCTGGGAGGGGACCCCAGGGCAGGGTGGGCACGGGAGGGTTCTCAGTTGCTGGAGGTGGTGGATCTGGTGGTGGAGTCAGGAAACCAGGGTGGGGAGCCTCAGAGGAAAGGGCAAGAAGGGGCTGAGAGAGGGAGGAAGAGAGGCACTGAGAGAGGGAGTCACAGTAGGGGAGAGAGAGAGAGAGAGAGATAGAGAGACAGAAAGAGATGGAGAGACAGAGAGAGAGCCAGACAGAGACACAGAGAGTGAGACAGACAGACAGAGAGAGAGCCAGACAGAGAGACACACACAGAGAGAGACGGAGAGAGACAGGGAGAGATGGAGAGAGAGACAGAGACAGAGAGACACAGAGACAGAGAGAGACAAAGACAGAGAGACAGACAGAGACAGAGAGATAGAGAGACAGAGAGACAGAGATGGAGAGACAGAGAGAGATGGAAAGACAGAGACAGACAGAGAGACACATAGACACACATACAGAGAGAGAGACAGAGAGTGAGAGAGAGGGAGAGGGAGGGGGAGAGAGAGAGGCTGGGAAAATGAATGAGAAGATATGACAGTGGAGAGAGAGGGGTCCAGGAATACAAGCACAGAGGGAGGTGTGCTCATGAGAGAAGGAACTGAGGAGAGAGATGGAGAAAGAGGTGGAAGCTGGATGTGACAGGGAACAGGAAAGGCAGATGGTGGGAAAAAAAGACAGAGGAAGAGGGAGACACAGAGATGCAGAGAGAGAGGGGTGTGGAGAAGTGGAGAGAGAAAAGCAAAAGACGGAGGCAAGAAGGTGGAGACAGAATGCAAACAGACACACAGAAAGAGAAAACAGAGGAGAGAGAGGAGAGAGGCCGAGACGCCCCCACCGTGAGGCACTCACCACAAACATGCAGAACAACAGCGATGATGATGAAGGCAGTGCGGGCATGAGACGTGGAAGAGAATGGGACATGGTGAGAGAAAGAGGACAGGACAGGCAGGCTGATGGCAGAGGGGAGACAGGAAGGATGGGCACCTACAGGGGATGGGGACAATAACAGAGGAGACAGAGGCAGAGATGAGAGATGGCAGCGCCAGGGAGAGATGGAGAGGTGGGGTGGGATGGAAGACAGGCAGGAGGTGGGCGGGAGATACCTGGACCTGGAGCAGAGCTGCCCACCTTGCTTTCTCACTTTTGACTCCTGAGAGATGGGGGAGCAGAGGCCCCAGCAGGGAGCAGGAAGGTTGGTGCCAGAATTGGCATTCCCCAACTTGGGATCTGCAGAGGGGTGGGGAAGAGCTAGGTACAGAGACAAAGTGAGAGCTGGAGATGCAAAGAGAGAGTGACAGAGACCCAGAGAGGGGGACAGAGACCCAGAGGGAGAGGGACAGAGACCTAGAAAGAGAAAGGGACAGAGATTCAGACACAGAAGGACAGTCTTAAGAGACGGGGTCGGAAATTCAAAATGGTAGAGGGTAGAGAACAGGAGAGAGAGAGTGAATGAGGTGGGGAAGGAATCTGGCCAGCCTGCAGAGGGGTTCTGGAGTTGGGGGGGGTTCCATCCTCATTTGGGGGAGGGCCCACCCTCCTCAGCCCCTCCCCCAGCCCCTTAAATTCCCCAATGCTTGTGTCTGTCTATGGGCCTGGGCAGCCCCATACCTGGACCACGTGGTGACTCAGGAGGCTGCCTGCCTCCCTCGGCTACCCCAACTGTTACCCCGGCCTCAGCCTGACTCAGCCTCCCTCTACCTGGACACCCACCTAGGTTGGCGCTTTGGGCTGGTACTTGGCCTGGATCTGTCTCTGCACCTGGGGACGCACTGTCTGTGCACCTGCATCTGGACGCACACACCCATCTCTCCCCAGGTGCCTTTCTGTGATTCCTGAACTGTTTCTGTTTAACTGTGGGCCGTCCTGCTTTGTTTGAGCTGAAGGCCTCGGGGAGCCTTCCTGGCCTCCTCTGCCATGGTTCAGGCTCTGCGTCAACACAAAAACCCCCTCTTTATTTTTAAATTTTTTATTTATTTACTTTTTAAAATTATTTATTTATTTATATATATATATTTTTGAGACAGAGTCTCGCTCTTTAGCTCAGGCTGGAGTGAAGTGGCTCAATCTCGGCTCACTGCAACCTCTGCCTCCCGGGTTCAAGCGATTCTCCTGCCTCAGCCTCCTGAGTAGCTGGGGCTATAGGCACCCGCCACCACGCCTTGCTCATTTTTTTGTATTTTTAGTAAAGACGGGGTTTCGCCATGTTGGCCAGTCTGGTCTCAAACTCCTGACCTCAAGTGATTCACCCTCCCTGGGCTCCCAAAGTGCAAGGATTACAGGCGTGAGCCACCGCGCCCGGCAAGAACCCCCTCTTTTAAGAAAGGATTCTCTTGGGACCCAGGGATGGGGCAGCAGGAGGGAGCCGCTCTGTGGTGACAAATCATCTCTGCGCTGGATGTGGCGGTGATGACACGATTCTACACATGAGATAAAGAGACACAGAAGCCCACGTGCGCGCACACACACACGTGTGCAAAGAAACGTGTGTGAAAAATGAACCCGCAGTGCGATCTGCAGTCTCGTTAATAGTTTGGTTTCTGTGCTGATTTCCTGGTTTCCATTCTGGACCTACAGTTACACAAGGTGTCGCCACGGGGAGAAGGAGGTGAGGGAGATTCCCTACACTGTGTTTGTAGCCTCCTGTGGGTCTGTAATTATCTCAAAGGAAAAAGTTAAAAATAAAACAGAATTTCCTAAGTAAACACAAGGTCTCCCTGTTCCTAAAAAGAAACTCTACTTAAGCAGAAGGCCTTGGTCAACCCCCAGGAGCCCGAGAGTGGCTCCTTTATGCCACTCTATCCCTGGGATCCAAGAGAATCCTTTCTTTAAAGGGTGGGCGGGGGGTGGGCAAGCGCGGTGACTCACGCCTGTAATCCCAGCACTTTGGGAGGCCCAGGCGGGTGGATCACCTGAGGTCAGGAGTTCAAGACCAGCCTGGCCAACATGGTAAAACCCAGTCTCTACTAAAAATACAAAAACAAAAACAAAAAAATGAGCCGGGCATGGTGGTGGGTGCCTGTAGCCCCAGCTACTCAGGAGGCTGAGGCAGGAGAATCGCTTGAACCCGGGAAGCAGAGGCTGCAGTGAGCCAAGATTGAGCCACTTCACTCCAGCCTGGGTGACAGAGTGAGACTCTGTCTCAAAATAAATAAATAAACAAACAAACACACAAACATATAAATAAAGAGGGGGTTCTTGTGTTTATGCAGAGCCTGAGCCAGGGCACAGAATGCCTGGAAGGCTTCCCAAGGCCTTCAGCTCAAAGGTAGGGACACAGCTGGAGATGTAGCCGATGAGACCCCGTTCACCGCCCCTGGCTCCCAAGGACCCACCGCCCCCAGCCCGGCCCTCAATGCCCGTCGTGCCGTGGCCGGGTTGCTGGGTCCTCTTCCCACCACATTCTAGGTTCCCGGGGTATCTCACTCCACCACTCCACCACCTGCTTGGCACGGTCTTGTTTGCTGTGCCATGGGCATCGATAAACATCTGACGAATGAATGAACACAGGGCCTCAGTCGCTGCTCCTGTGTGAACTCACGGTCTGGTGAGACAGGCCAGCGGGGCCACAGGAAACTCCATCTGGTGTCACATGTGCTCCCCCGGAGGAGGTTGAGGGGCTGGATGGAGCCCTAGGTGTGGGAAAGGGTTCTGGGAGGAGCAGCTGTCTTAGCCGGGTTCTGCAGATGAATAGGAGTTTGCCAGGGAGGATGGACAGTGTGTGGAGAGGGTAGCAGGGAGGTGAGTGGTTGGTGGGGCAGGAGGATGGTGAGAGAGCTCAGAGCGTAGGAGAGAGGAGTGACCAAGACAAGTAGGGCCCTGGTGCTGCAGGGGTGAGAATTTTACTCCAAGGGTAATGGGGGGTAGTGGCATGATCCTGAGTAGGGGAGAGCAGAATCTTTTGGGATACTCAGGTCTGGAGCTCAGAGTGATGGGGCGTCATGGCACAGATGGCGCTGGACACCAGCGGTGTGGAGCCCACCTAGGGAGAGGGTATATGGTGAGAGGACCCCACTGAAGACTCACAGCTCGGGGGATGAGAAGCAGTTACCCCAGGGGTAGGAGTGATTGAAGAGCTAAGAGGGACACCAGGAGGGAGCAGTGTCAGGAAAGTTGAGAGCTTTTATTTCTTTTTAAACAGGGTCTCACTCTGTTGCCCAGGCTGGAGTGCAGTGGTGCAATCACAGCTTACTGCAGCCTTGAACTCCTGGCCTCAAGCAGTCCTCCCACCTCAGCCTCCTGAGTGGCTGGGACTACAGGCACGTGCTACCACAACCAGTTAATTTTTGTATTTTTTTTGTAGAGACGGGGTCTCACGATGTAGCCCAGGTTGGTCTCCAGGACTCAAGCGATTTGCCTGCCTTGGCCTCCCCAAGTGCTGGGATTACAGGCGTGAGCCAGCGTGCTGTGCCCAGCCAGAGAGCATTTTTTAAATGAGGGAGTGGTGGCGGCGGGGGCGGGGTCAGATGCCTCTGGAAGGAAGACAGGTGATGGGTGATTCTGGAGAGAAAGGTTTTTTGTGGTGTGCTAGGGGTGGAAGCTGGGCGGAGCAGAGGAGACCACAGCTCTTGGCTGTTAGGGGAGGAGAAGGGAGCTTGACAGTGATGGCTGTTTATAAGAAAGGAAAACCCAGATGGCACTTGGAACAAAAACAATCGGTCACATGTATTCTGTGCTCAGCACAGCCAGGGACTGTGATGAAACCTTGTTTTTTTTTTTTTGTTTTTTTGTGAGACGGAGTCTCATTTCGTGGTCACCCAGGCTGTTGGGTGGTAGTGGCTGGGATCTCCCTCACTGCAACCGTTCTGCCTCCTGGAGTTCAGCATTCTTGGTTGCCTCAGTCCTTCGGAGGCGCTGGGGATCTCAGGGCGCCGCCCGCCACCTCACTGGGCTAAATGTTGTGTATTTAGTAGAGGCGGGGTCGTTTTCCCATGTGGCCAGGCTGGGTCTCAAACTCCTCGCCTCAGGGTGATCCACCCACCTTGGCCTCACAGTGTTGGGATTACAGGCGCTAAGCCACTGGTGCCTGACAGGATGAGACTTTTTTAAATGGCTTTAAACTTTAAGAAAATTTTACAATTTTTTAATTGTTGGTAAAATTAACATTGGCATGGCCCAGGCGCAGTGGGCTCACGCCTGTATCCTAGCCCTTTGGGAAGCCAAGAGGGGTGACGCCCTGGTCAGGAGTTTGAGACCGCAGCTGGAGCAACCATGGTGTATCCTGTCGTTCTACTCAGAATACAAAGAGAAATTAGGCTGGGCATGGTGGCGCGGGGGCCTGTAGTCCAGCTCTTGGGAGGCTGAGGCAGGCAGTGAGGCGATCGCCGCCACTGTACTCAGCCTGGGCAAGAGAGTGAGGCTCCATATCTACCAAAAAAGAAAAAAAAGCACAAAATCTAGCATTTTAACCATTTTTTATGGTACAGTTCAATGGGGGGGATTCAGCAGTTCCGCATTGCTAGTGCAGCCATCCCACTACGTCTCTAACATCCCCAGACAGTTTTCATTGTCCCCCAATTGTGCACACTAATGATAGCTCGCCCTGCTTTCTCCCTCCCCCAGCCCTGGCAACACATTCTCATCTGTATCTTTAATGAATTTGACTACTCTGATTCTAGGTACCTCGACCATAGGAATCAGTAGGAAATCACCTTTTTTTTTTTTTATTCCTCTCTCTGTTTAGAGATAAGTGTTAATCTATCACCAGGCTGGAGTGCAGTGGTGCGTGCATAGTCACTGTTCAGCCACAACCTCCTGGCTCAAGCAAATCGCTCCCCCTCAGCCTCGCCTGAGTAGCTGGGACTACAGGTGCGCACGCACCATGCCCAGCTAATTACTTTTTTTTGTTTTTTGTAAAGATGGGGTCTCCCTATGCTGCCCAGGCTGGTCTTGAACTCCTGGGCTCAAGTGATCCTCCTCCCACCTCAGCCTCTCAAAGTGCTGAGATTACAGGTGTGAGCCACTGCTCCTGGCCAAAAGGAATCATATTATATTTGTCCTCTTGTGACTGGCTTATTTCACTCAACCTAATGTTCTCAACATTCATCCACGTTGTAGCATGTGCCAGGATTTCTTTCCTTCTTTAAGGCTGAATGCTATTCTATTGTGTATATAGATCAGATTCTGTTTAACCAGCCAAGTTCTTTATCTGGGTTAGTGTCTTCCCTTTGTTTTCCTCCCTCTTTCCCTTCATCCCTCCCTCTTCTCCCATCTGCCTTCCTTTTCTCCCCCACCTCTTTTCAGCAAATATTTATCAAGCACCTACTATGTACACCCTCATAGTTCTAGAGGATACAGCAATGAGCACAAAAGATACCCCTTCCAAAAAAAATCTTTGCCCTACTGATCGCTATATTCTGGAAGAAAAAGAAAATGAATAAATACAATATATGACATTACAAGTTATGCGGGTCTATGAAAAGGTGGCACCAAGGGCCTCCCTGCAGTGAAAAGGGTCTGTAGGTTTGGGAACTGCAAGACAGCCAGTAGGGTGCTGAGTGGGTGAGGGGAGAATAAACAATGAAGGCAGTGAGGTCATGGAAAGTCTGGACTCCTCAGGAGAGGCACTGTCTTGTCCCCATTTTACAGACAGGGAAACTGAGGCTGAGAGAGGAGGTGGCTTGTCCAGGGTCCCACAGCTGGTAGGTGCAGGAGGCAGCAGAGACTCCAGGACTGTCCGAACCTCCGCTCCACGATCTTAACTCTTCCTCTGTTGTCTCCCAAGGCCACTATCAAGTTCATTTGCACACTGATGTGTGTGTCCAACACGATTTGAACAATTTCATGAGAATTAACTCGCTGACACCTTCCCCTAGCCATGGGAGAGCTTGCGAGTACCTCCGGTATTGTTACTCCCCTCATTGTACAGATGGAGGAAGCCTGGACGGAAATGCTCGGCCACTCGCCAAGGTTACACAACGCTGAATGGGGGCGCCATGATTTGAACCCAGGTGGGGAGCTCTTAATCACCTCACGAAATGTTCAAGAACAAAGGAGTGGATGGTGCAACCAGCGATGTGGTGGGATCAGCCCCAGACATGGGGAAAGATGCCTCTTCCATTGTTTCAGGAAGGAAGAAGGAAAGGGCAGGTCAGGTGCGGGTAGGGTGTGGGCCCGATGGCAGGAAGTCGAGGCTGGTCTGTCCTGTGGCTTGTTTCTTCCCGGGAGACGTCAGTCGGCTCATCTCAAGGGGCCTTGGTGGGTGGGGCTGGGAAGGCTGAGGGTGGCGGCGAAGGGGCCCAGGTGATGTTGAGGATCATGTTTCAAGGGGCACCCTCTCAGCAGTTGGTGGATTTTTTTTTTCCTCCAACTTTCTGGATGTAGACAAAGAGAAGGCGCCTGCAGGACTGGGTGATGGCGGGAGGGATGCTGGGACTGGGGAGCTGAGGGTCGCCAGGGCAGAGGGGACTCTGGGGCTGTTCTTGAACTCCTGGGCTCAAGTGATCCTCCTCCCGCCTCGGCCTCTCAAAGTGCTGGGATTACAGGTGTGAGCCAGTGCACCCAGCCCAAAGGAATCATATTACAGTTGTCCTCTTGTGACCTGCTTATTGCACTCAGCCTAAAGTTCTCAGGGCGTGGAGACAAGGGGGCTTGGTGGGGAGGCTGCCTGAGGAGGGTCAGACGTCTTTAAGGTGGAAGAACAGGTACGGCGCCGACAACCATAGCACAGCGGCACGGGAGGCTGTGGGCTGTGGGATTTTGTGGTTTTGGAGGTGGAGCCCTTCTGGATGGAGATAGAGGTTGGGTGTGACTGTGGGAACAATGGCGGGGGAGGTGGTCTCTGGCCACGTGGAGGTAGTGGGATGCAGAAGCTGGGGGGGTCCTATCTTTGAAAGTTGGGGGGGGTCCTCTCTCCTGAAGCTCCCCACTCCATGTGTCAGCCAGTGCCTGTCCCTCTGTCCACTTATCATAGCAATGGGGCCGGTCACCAAGGGCTTCACATACATCCTCTCACATTTAATCCTCGTGAAAGCCCCGTGGGGCGAGGGACTCTCATTAGTACCATGTTATAGATGAGGAAACGGGGCCTTAGACAAGTAACCTGGGCAAGTGGCACAGCCAGGCCTCAAACCCAGATCATTCGTCTGTGAGACACCATGCCACTCTGTCTGCAGATCCGTTTCCATGTCAGCGAGGGCTGAGAGTTTTGTTTGCCTCGTTCCCTGATGGGTCCTAGAACGGCCTGGAGTGAGTGTGCACGCCGTGAATGGTCGTGGGATGAGTGGACAGACCCCCATCTCTGTCTTCCCTCATGTCCTGATGGGCTTTTGGTTGGCAACTTTCCTAGTGCCTGCTGTGTGCCACGTCTCCCTTAATTCTCCCACCAGCCCCATGAGACACGATGACACCCATTTTACAGATGACGAAGTGGAGAGAAATGAGGTCAGTTGTCTAACGTGGCATGGAAGGGCTGGGATGTGAACCCCAGCCAGCCTGACTTGATGCCTCTCTGCTTCTCATCTCATGTGTGTCGCTGATGATCCAAACTCTCTCCGGATGAATCTCTCAGACGTTTCTGAGCTGGCACTGAAAACTGCTTTGTGCCAGGCAGCCTCTGTGTGCAAAGCTGGAGGCCCCTGAGGCTCAGCCGATGGGCAGTGAACATTCCTACCCCCCATCCCACCTCTATTACCTCCCATTTATTTCTGTTTAAGCTCCATGGTGTGCCCCTACCTTCCCCCTGTGTCTCCTCTAAGTTAGCATCCTCTCCCCAGGTGCTTGGGTCAAAGACGCCTGGGAGCGTCCTTGATTCCTCCCTCGCTCTCATCTCCCATTTTGGCAGCTCCTGTCACTTAGCTCCAAAGTACACAGTAAAGAATCCGCCCACCTGTCTCCTCTCAGTCACCCTCTTCCAAGTCACCCTTATCTCTCACCTACACAGGTGCAAGAGCATCCAAACTGGTCTCGCTGCTTCCAGCCTCGACCCCCAACCCCTCCCTCCCTCGCCCTGCTAAGTCCATTCTCTACTCGGCAGCCAACGTCATCTTAAAACAGTATCATGTTGAAACCTGCTTAAAACCCATCCGTGAGTCCCCACTGCAATTATAATAAAACCCAAATGCCTCCAAGGCACTCGGTGTCTGGCTTCTGTCCATCCTTCCAACCTCATCGCCCCATTGTGTACTGTGCCTCTGCTCCCCTTGAACATCTTCCATCTTCTTAACACAGGAGGTGCTTTCCCAACTTAGAGT